TTTCGATTTTTTTGTATGTTTTTTCTTCTTCTGATTTTTTGTTTTTGTTTTCGGTATGTAATGTATAATTTAGTTGTTTTCTTTTCTTGCTTCCATTTCTTCTTACTTCTTATTTGTTTTCATATGTTTTGTTCAATATTTGGCTTTCAATTTCATATTTAAGTTTTTTTTTGCATTCCTAACGTTTTCCTTTTGTATTATAAATTCTAGCATTATTATTCAATCTTATTATTGTTATTGTGTGTGTGTCTTTGTCTTGTCTATGCATATATGTATGATTTCACATTACAATTACACATAACTATGTTTACATACGAGTTAGTTACAATCATACAATGCTAATATAATCAGGATAATAATAATAATAATTAAAAATAATGATGATAATGTTATTAAATAAACGTAAGTAAGTAAGGAAGAAAGAAGAAGAAAAGTAAAACTTAAAACTACACAATTCTATGCTATTTTATTTACAAATGTCTTCCGATGTCTTCCTAATTAAAAACGAACACAAATTAAATTCATTTCAACTTTTATTTTCTTCTCTTTTGTTTTGTTCACAGCACTTAACATATTTTCTCCTTCTTTTATTTCCAGTTCTGTTCTGGCTCTGTTCATGTTCGACTTGCTTGTAAATCATTTGCTTACAATAAAATGGAATTGTTTTTAATTAATGTGACTGTGACTGTGACTGTAACTGTGACTATTATTAGTAACTATTTCAATACAAATGCGCTTAAGATACTTTTCTTTACAAAAACAAAAAAAAAAAAAAACATATAAAAACATTGACATTTGTTTCTTTAAATGTTGCAATATGGACAGCAGTCAAAAGGGGTTTCAGATAAGAACTTTAAATTAAAACATGTAAGCAAAGGCTATAGTCGTGCCGGGCTGACCATGTGATACCCTACAACACTACAATAAGTAAGAAGCCCCCTTATGTCCAAATCCATTTTGGAAGATTTTGTTTTTGAAATTATATCACGGTCGTACAAAATGCTAGCATTTTTCTCTGTCTTTAACTCTCCTCTTAGCCGTGTCGATTGCCTTCAATTGTGTGATGGGGAAATGTTTTCTGTTTTTGATTCTTTTTAAACCCCTAAATATATTGCGGACATCTTTGAACGAATAGCATGCGATAAAATGAATATGAAAAATAAAAATATGTCGCAAATTACTACAAAATCTATATTAACATCATTATATGCATCTTTTTATGCGATTTTTTTATTTAAATTCTTTTAATTTTTAAAAATTTTTCAAAATCGGTCCAGTCATTTTTGAGATATAGGCATTCTAGCAAACATCCCGAATATTATTTTTTATTTCACCAATAAATATTACCCGATGACCATTAAAATTGGAAGGCTTCTGCCCAGCCCTAAGTTCTAGCCCCATGCTAACTTCCGTTTCGATTGGTCTATAATTGCGACCTGTAGAGCAACTGCCAGATCAGGAATTTTTTCAGTTTTTGGTCCATTTCAACCCCTAAATAATATACGATCATCTCCAAAAGCAATAGGCTTCTATTCTGGCTCTAGCCCCACCTCCATTCTAAATTTAAGAGTGATTACAAGTTAACATGGACAGACGGACGGACGGACATACAGCTCAGCTCGGCGAGATAGGAAGATCCTTATATACTTTCCTATGTGGGAAACAGCATGTAAAAATATTTATTTTTTAAAAAACGTATTTAAATTAGTGACTGAAAGAGAATCAACGCCAAGGCCAAATGCCTGAAGCTAGCATCCTGAAATTTTACACGTAGGTCAACCTTGGTGCGTAGGAGTGTGACAAAGCTGGATTTTTTGGTAATTCATACTTAAAGGATACGAAAAGTACTAGAATGTACTAAACAAATGATATTATGTATTCGAAAAACGAAACTAGTTAGGATCCTATCATTTTGGAAGGGAAATTCTTGAAATTTCTTTAGAATTTTGTACTTAAAGTTTACGAAAAGTTCTAAAATCCTTGCTAAACTTTTAATAGGATACCATTTAGTGTTTTATGAACCGACAGATCTAAAAAATCGGAATCTGGTATGTGGATCAGCGTTGGAAATTACAGGGTGCAATGAAAAAACTGCAACCAATTTCAGACTGCTGTCATTTTTAAACCACTTGTCCGACTGCTGTTTTAAAAAACTATTCCAGTGACAGCTCATTATAATGTTTACGAGCGTACAAAAGCACTTTGGTAAGAATTTTCCAGAAAAAACGTGTTGGAATTCAAGCGTGATAATGTGATTTCTTTACACATGGCTGGAAAGCCACAAGTGGCTATCTTTAGAGACCTCCAGCATTTAAATGTGAATAAATCTTTTGTGTCTCGTACCATCGCCTTTTTCCGTGATACTGGTAGCGTAGTCCGACGTCAAGGAAGTGGACGGAAGAAAAGAGCAGGATTAACAGAAATGGTTCGAAAAGTAAAGAAACGACTTGACCGAAACCCGCGTCGCAGTGGCCAAAAAATGGCTCGTGAGCTGAAGATATCGCAATATTCCATTTGGCAAACATTGAAAAATGAGTTCGGGGTAAAGCCATTGAAATTGCAAAAAGTGCAAAAACTTACACCGCAACAGAAAGAAAATAGACTCGAAAGAGCTAAAGAGTTGCTTCGCTTGGCCGAAAATGATGAGCTGCCGAAGTTGGTTTTTTCCGATCAGAATGATCGTGTTTACTTGCCAGAGAGGTCAGCTGAAAATGTGCAGCTTCGGTTGGCCACCAGAACAGAACTCAAGCGCCGGCCATGGTGATGCCAATAGTCGCTCTCGGCTCGTATTAATCGACCGTGGCATCAGAATAAATGCCCAATATTATTGCGAAAATTTTATGGAGGGGTATTAAGGTCTTGGGCACGCCAACATTTTGGCCGCAGACCTTGTACATTCCAACAGGACTCAGCACCATCGCACTCAGCACGCGCCACCCAAGAATGATTACAAAATGAGGTTCCACGCTTCATTTCCAGCGCACAATGGCCACCAAAATCTCCGGATACCACTCTGTTGAACTAAAAAATACCAAAGTGTCGATCACCTCAAACAAGCGCTACGCCGGGAATCGGTCGTTTGAAGGTCATAATTCGTGCAAAGGTAAACTTTTTCTAAAATTTGATTCTCTTTCCGAAATTTGCTGATTTCATTCAATAAAATTTGAAAAAAAAAATGTAAAAGTTATGGCGTTTGACTTTGTTGCAGTTTTTTTATCTCGGTAGGATTGTGATATGGAGGTGGTTTTGCAAATGTATACTACAAGTGCACGAAAAGTACTAAATAGTATCATTTGGTACAATTTGATATTTGGTGAACAGATAATGCTTTACATCAAATGGACACGAGGAGGTGGTTTCGGATAACTCTACTCTAATTGTATGAAAAGTACTAAATGGTACTAAATTTGGCATTGGGTACAGGCAAAGAAATGCAATTCTAAAATTTGATATTTAGATTGCTGATGGAATCGGTGTTTGAGATTTTTGAAGTGGTTTGGAAATGCGTCCTATATTTGTGCGAAAAGTACCAAATAGTACTAGTTTCGTTAATGGGTGAACAGATAGTGCTTGCCGTATGAAATTTGTTATTATTGTCACTGTTCATGTATAGCCTTGACATATGGAGTTGGTTGTGGAAATGTGTACTATAACTGGTCTAAAAGTACCAAATAGCACTAAATTTGATTTTGGGAGAAGGAAGAGGGCTACTATACTCAAATTTCGGATTGAGGTTTATGTTGGTATCTGGAATTGAGTTATGAAGGTTGTTTTGGAAATGTGTACTATAATTGTACGAAAATTACTTTGTTGTACTAAATTTGGTATTGGATGAAAGAATAGAGCTTGAATCCTGGAATTGGATATTGAGACCTCTCTTGGTATATGGAATTGAGATATGGAGGTGGTTCTGGAAATGTGTACTATAATTGTACGAAAAGTACTTTGTAGTACTAAATTTGGTATTAGATGACGGAATAGAGCTGGGATCCCGGAATTTGATATAGAGATCTCTTTTGGGATCTGGGATTGAGATATGGTGTGGTTTTGGAAATATGTACAATAATTTTGCGAAAAGTACTAAATGGCACCAAATTTGGAATTTTGTGAAGGGAGAGGGCTGGAGTACTCTAATTTGGCTTTAAGGTGTTTGTTAGTATTTTAAATTGAGGTATGGGGGTGGTTTTGAAAGGATTAACGTACTAAATGGTACTAAGATAATTATGGGATTACGGATATGGAGGTGCTTTTGGATATTTGTACTATTATTGTACGATAAGTAGTAAATAGTACTAAATTTGGTATTAAATGACGGAATAGAGCTGGAATTCGGTACTGAGATCTCTGTTGGTATATGGGATTGGGATATAGAATTGTACGAAAATATTAAATTTGGTATTGGGTGAAGAAATAAAGCTGACATTTTTTAAATTTGATATTGAAGTCACTGTTTATGTCTTTGGTTGATAGAAGGGGCTGGATTTGGATATGCGTACTATAATTATACTAAATGGTACTTAATTTGATAACGGGGGAAATTAAAGAGCCGAAAACCTAAAATTTTTGTATAAAGGTCACTAATGGAATCTGAGATTGAGCTAAAGAGATTTTTTTTGGAACTGCGCACAATTTTTTTGGATTATTTTGCGTTCAATTATTTGGATCACTATTGGTATTCGGGATGCAGAGATGTCGATCATTTTAGATATGCTTACTAAATGTTACTAAATTGGGTAATAGTTGAAGAGTTAGATCTGTATTTCCGACTTTTGATATTGAGGTCACTGTTAGTCTGTAGGGTTTACGTATGGAGACGTTTAAAGGGGTTTCGACCAAAAAAATGTATGTGGATCCCTTATGCAATGGTTTTACTAATATCCTTCTCGGCAAACTTCAAAATGAAAATTTTTAAAAACTTTTTGATGTAAAAAGTAAACATTTTCGTATTATTCTTTCCGACAAAAAGAAAAACATGAATTTAATGTGAAACCTTGAAAGTCTGAAAATTTAGAATGACATATGAAGATTTAATAAAAATAAATTGTCAATCTCAACTAATTGTGTATTTTGGATACCAAATGGGCGTTACACAAACTGTTGGAAAAAATCAAAAATTTTTAGTTGGACTTTTCGCTGACAATGTAGAGGGCACTTGCCAGGAATAAAATAACATTTAGAGTTTGAACACGTGTAGTACATATAAAGCCTACCGTACATTTTACCAAATAAATCTCCATGAAATTGGTTCATGTCAGCAAAAAGCTCTAGTGGAAACGTGCTATTATTTCGGTATCTTACCATGCCTCATGTTGAATTCATTTTCTTATCTGAAACCCTGTTGAACACTTTGTGATATTATATATTCTGAAAAAATGAAAACGTTTCTAATATTTAAACATTTCCCCTAAAATGTGGCAGGAAATGACAATTTCCTATTCATTTTCAAAAAATAATAAACATTTTTGCATTTGAATAAGGCATTGTTAATGATATGCAAAACATTTCAATGGAACAATTTTAGCTAATTAGCAACAAATTTAGAATTAACAAATCTCTGCTGTAAATTCAACCGAAAACAATTGTTTCAATTCCAAAAATGTAACAGACCTACACAATGGAATAAATAATTTCCGTTTAATATTGTAAAGTAATTAACAGTTTGAAAAGCCATGTTGTAAATTTTTAAATATTTCAATAAAGCAATTGTGCGCTAATTTTCTCATTTTCAGAATATGTAAATATCACTCCGTGTGTGTGTGTGTGTGCAACCCAAATAAGCTTGTTGTTATTGTTATTGTTTCTCAATGGAAAAGTAAAATTTTTCAACACTCATTTGATAAGCTTTAATTTAGTTTACTTTTTTTTTTTTTTGTTTTGTATAATTCTTTTGTTGTTGCCGTTCTTTTTGTTTTTAATGATATTGACTTTTAATGGACGCTTATAGTTATTGTTATTGTATTCTTATTTTATTTTACCTCTCTCTTTGTTTTAATGTAAAAAATAGATACATTTTTATTATTTTGTGTTTTTTTTTCTTTGTCTTAGTTTATAGTAATAATAATAATAATAATTAAACAATAAAAAATAAGTAGCAAAATAAAAAAACAAAATAATGGTTAGTGTTTTTCATGATAATTATTTACAATGTTGATGTGATTGTGTGTGTGTGTGTGGATGAGCGGGTGAGTGGTTTTGAGAGTGTGTGTGTATATGAGCTGTTTTTTGATTACAGGTATAGGAAGAGCAGCACTACTGCCGATTGCTCCTCATCCCAACCTGTTGGCTTTACTTTCAGCATTACCAATATATGTACACATTCCGTACTGTACCGCGAACTATAGTAAGGTATGGCTTTGGTGGTTCTAACTCTAAGAAGTTTTACGACAACTATCCAGCTATTGATCATTTTCTGTGTAAAAAAATGCCCTTAATTTTTAAATAACCTAAGACGATATGAGTATGCAGGGAGGGGGGAAGTGGGAGGGAAGGGGGAAGGAACGTTCTACACAGTCTCCAAGATAACTGTGTTTTCTCCCATCTGCTGATCATCAACAGGTCTTAGGTTATTCAAGGGTATCGACTTGTCAGAGTTTATTGTCGCCCTCGCCGTTGTTGTCGACGTTACTGCGGTCGACGATGCTGTCGCTGTCGCTGTTGTTGGTGCTATGTCTGTCGCATCACCACCATAATTACACGTCTCATGTGACTGACGTTTAATCATCATTTGACTGGATTTAACGGCAATCCATTCATTCCGTTGCGCATCAAACCACGTCAAACCCAAGTTGTAGCGACCATTCAGATTGGCGTGCTGACAATGCGAGAACCACCACCCACCCTCATAGTTGGCAGCACAGTGCGTTTGTGATATGTCACGATCCACATCGATGGCCGAGAATTGCATACCCTGCTGGTAGTCCAATGCATCGGAGGCATTGCCACTATAGCCGCCGATATGCAAACGATAGCCATCGGACCGTGACGATATGTAAAATTGATTGTATTCGGCCAGCCAGACATTGTCGTAGATGTCCTGCATCAGCACCCGCAGTCGGGTGCAATTGTTCAGTGTCAAATGGTGTAATTGTTCGTTGCCAATCCAGAATTCGCCGGCCGGTGAACCAAAACCTGCGGCATAGTCTTCCCACGAACGATTAAAATCGGCACTGCCATCGTAACGTCGCTGCACCGTTGTCCAACCATCGCTGGTGCAGTGGGCCATTTGCGGATGATGATCACCGGCGGGGGCAATCAGATAGAGTCCGTCATTAGTTGTGGTCTCTGACGGTGTCACTTCACTGCAATCTCTCGGCAGTTTGGCAATAATTGATTCAAATTGTTGTTCAACATTTTCCAATTTTGCTACCAATGATTCGGCATTTTGCGGTTGATTATCTTCGGATTGGTCGTTTTCATTATCCTTATTATCCGCATTATGATGACGTTGATGATGATTGGATTTCTGAAATGAAAATGGAGTGGAGAAAAAACAAACAAGAAAATATTAGTAAAATGGTAAGAGGAAATATTTCAAAAAACATAATCCAAAATGGGGGTAGAGGGGCATATTTTAGGTTTTGAATAAGAAATAGCATTTACCAAAAATTTCCTTTAATTTGAGTATGACAAAAGTGTGCTGAACGAAACACATTTTGTAACTATTTTGAAGGCCTCAAAAACGATCTTTTCTTGAAAAAAAAAAAAAAACAGAATGTCCTTATTTTCCTAAAAAAGCTGACAGTATCCTCAGGGCGGAGTATAAGGTTTGCTCAGAGAGGGGAAGATGGTCTTCTCAGAAAGTAGACGAAGGTCTTTTCAGAGAGGAGACGAAGGTCTTCTCACAGAGGAGACGAAGGTCTTCTCAGAGAGGAGACGAAGGTCTTCCCAGAGAGGAGACGAAGGTCTTCTCAGAGAGGAGACGAAGGTCTTCTCAAAGGAGCTCCGTCGTTCTTCTCCCAGAGGACCCGGGAGGGTCCTTTCTTTGAAAGCCGAAAGGTCCTTTCATAAAAGACCAGAAGGTCCTATCAATGTAGACCCGAAATACTTCTCTCAGAAGACCAGAAGTCTTCTCGTGAAAAAGCTTCTCATAGAAGACCGGAAAGTCTTCTCATAGAAGTAAAAGACCGGAAAATTACCGTAAAAGACCGGAAAATTGTCCTATAGAGCTCGGAATGGACACTGTTAAAATTCAAGGAGGTCGTCCATTATAAGGCTTCCAAATATCTTTCCCTTGCAGACCCCAAGGTTTTCTCCCAGAAGCATCTAGGGGTCTTCGCTACAAGAGCAGAGGGCCTTCTCCTACAAGACGAGTAGGCCTTCTTCTAGAAGACTGGAAGGTATCCTCTTAAAAGATTAGATGGTAGTTCCATTGACAAGCCCAATTGCTTTTCATAAAAGAGCAAAAGTTCTTCTCCTAGTAGATCAGAAGGACGCCTCATAGAAGACCCTTTCCCCAGAAGACTCTCAGGTCTTTTATCATAGAAAACACAAGGTCTTCTCCCATAAGAGCAGTCTTCTTCATAAAGACCAGAAGTTATTCTTTTACCATATTTTCTCATTGAAGGCCTGAAGGGTCTACTCTATAAGAGCTGAGAACGTTTTCATAGCAGACTGGAAGATATCCCCTTACAAGATTAGATGGACTTATCAATGAAGAACCCAGGGTTTTCTAATAAAGACCAGAAAGACTCCTCATAAAAGATCCGAATGTCTTCTTCTTAAAGGCGTGGGAAACTTAAGATCCGAAGGTTATCTATTAGAAGATCAGGAGTTTTTCAAAAAATACCAAAAAGCCTTCTCATAGAAGACCGGAAGAATTTACAGTAATAGACCGGAAAATTGTCCTATAGAGCTCGGAATAGACACTGTTAAAATTCAAGGAGATCGTCTATTAGAAGGCTAGAAGAAAAATCGTGTCTAAGAGGTCCAGAGTATCTAGAAGGTCAGAGGGTATTGTCCTAGAGAGCCAAAATGTCTTCTCTGAGAAGACTGGGAGATTTTTTCATAGACCCACGAAATAACTTCTCGCAGGAGACAAGATTGTCCTTCCCCAATATACCAGAAGTTATTTTCCTATGAAACCAGATTGTATTTCCTTTAGAAAAGTCCTTTCCATGAAACCATATTTCCTTCTCCTCATAAGGGACCAGAGGGATCTTCTGCTAGGAAACTAAAAGCTCTTTTCTGGAAGAGTCTTCTCAGATATTGACAATTTGTCACACAGAGGATCATAAGGTAAATGGTAAATCAAAGCTTAATGCCAAGATAAATCCTTAAAAAACAAATCACATGTCATTGTTCAAAAAAAAACTTATCAAATCGCAAATATGCAACACATATCCTTATCTAAGAATTCATTCCCTTTTCAACGCTCTTTTGCTGAAATTTCAATCATTTTCTGTTGTTGTGAAATGAAAATCCCCCTCCCTTCCTCCACTCTATTGTCCCAGAAATCCATTCAAATTGCAGTGTAAACTGAAATTAAAGACTTGGAAACTGTTTTTTTTTTTTTTGTTTTAAAAGAAATAATTCCTAGTTTTATATTACGAAACCAAAATCTCATATACAACACTCGGCACTCCCCCAAAACCATTCGCTCAAATGTTTTTTTTTTTTTTTTTCGATTCCCTACTATTCCAGAGAATAGAGTTATGCAAACGTTGACACAACGTGACAGATTTGAATTTCATGTTGAATGTGTTTCGGTTTTTTTTTTTTTTTTTTTTTTTTTTTTGAGGTATATCTTAACAGTTTTGTTACACTGCTACTGCGGAGCTACGAATGTGACTCAAAACCAAAACAAAGCTGAAACAGTTTTCCCATTGTTGACAACCAAACAACATAATAGGAGCGAACAGCATCATTGGTAGCAACAACGGAAACAAAAAAAAATGTAAAAAAAAACAACAACATGACGAAGACAAAAGAAAACCAAAATCAGCCAAACAGTTTTCGGTTAAATCGCAACAAAAGCTACACCAGCAAATTGCACGTACCGGGAAGTAACATTAGGACAATGCTACGAATTATTATCCTGATGTTGTACAAAAAAACAAATACAGAGAGAGCGATGAAAAACGCAAAACTCGGGAAACGTAACGTATTGTTGCTGAGCTTTACATCGAGTCAGCCAGCCAGCAATCCGGCCATTCATTCATTCGTTTGTTCGCTCGCTCGTTCAGTCAGTCATTCATCCATCTATCCGGCCATCATGTTTCATTTTCGTTTAATTGAAAATCTATTCTGGCTTAGGTTTGTTTTTGTTTTCATTTTGGCGAAATGGCAGTTTTTGATGGGCGTTACACCATTTAGAAGTACAGACATTTTTCGTGGGATTCTAATAAAATAATAATTGAAATGTCAAGAAATTGCAAATTTTTGAATTTATGAAAATGATCGGAGAAAAAAAAAAGAATTAAATAAATATATAACTCTGTATCTGTGGCTAAAAATTTGACTGGAGGAGTTTTAATTGACATTTATTTTAGTCTGCATTTTTTATTTTTTTTTTTTTTTTTGGAAAAAAAAAATTACTTTGACCCTTTAAAGATTAAAATCTGACCCTGCATTTGTGAGTCAAAATTGACTAGAAAAAAAAATTTGCTTTAATTGAAATTAATTTAATCTGGATTTTTTATTTATTTATTTTTATACCCTCCACCATCGTATGGAGGGTATATTAAGTTTGTCATTCCCTTTGTAACACCTTGAAATATACATTTTAGATCCCACAAAGTATATATATTCTAGATCAGCATAAAATTCTATGTCGATGTCTGTGGAAATCACTCTAGCTTCCGAACGAATTGAAGTAGATTGATAAAATTTTACTCAAATGTAATTATGTAAATATACATTTGATAATATGTATATTATGCAGGACTTTTGGTATTGAAAATGGGCCATGTAGGTCCAGGTTTTGGTATAGCCCCCACATAATATTCATCGGAATTGTTTCAAATTTGGCATTTGAAGTTTTAAATGAATACTACAGCCTATGACAGAAAATTGTCTGCGCAGGTCCACGTCTTCGTATACCCCCATGTTACGGTACCTCCCGATATTCGGTATTTTGATGATTTTAGCGGCATTATTCATCGGAATTGATTCAAATTTGGTACTTGAGATTCCTAGTGGATACTACAGCCTATGACAGAAAATTGTCTGTACAGGTTCACGTCTTCGTATAGCCCCCATATAACTGTACCTCCTGATTTCCGGTATTTTGATTAATTTAGGGACATTATTCACCGGAATTGTTTCAAATTTGGTTATTAAAGTTCGTAATGGATTCTACAGCCTATGACAAAAAATTGTCTGTTCAGGTTCACGTCTTGCTATAAGCCCAATATAACAGTACCTCCCGATATTCGGTACTTTGTTGATTTTGGCGACATTATTCACCGGAATTCTTTCAAATTTGGTATTTGAAATTCGTAATGGATACTACAGCCTATGACAGAAAATTGTCTGTGCAGGTCCACCTCTTCGTATAGCCCCCATACAACGGGACCTCCCAATATTCGGTGTTTTGATGATTTTTGGGACATAATTCACCGGAATTGTTTCAAATTTGTTTTTTAAAGTTCGTAATGGATACTACAGCCAAAGGCAGAAAATTGTTTGTGCAGGTCCACGTCTTCGTATAGCCTCCATATTACGGTACCTCCCGATATTCGGTATTTTGATGATTTAAGCCACATTATTCACCGTTGATTTTTTTGTTAAGTTTCACATTTGAATATTGTATTTTTGTTTAAAGAGTTTTTATCTTAAATATACTTTAAAATTCGGTTCGTAGCCTGGATATTTAAAAAAATCCTTTTTTGATTAGAATGCCCTTTAACAATTCTTGAAAAATCCATAATTTTTACAGGAAGTTCTAACTTCTCGATTGTTAGGTAAAAAGTCATATTATTTATACAAAAAAAAAATAATTCTAGATATTTGCTAAAGAATTGCTTGGACATTTCTTGCATATTCTAGGATTTTTGAGTAAGTCCCTGAAAAAATTGGTTATTATCCGGCTGTATGACTGTTAGAAAATAGAGAGATCTTTAAAAGAAAGACATTTAAAACATTTTTTTTTTTAATTCTCGATTTTTGGGCAAGAAGTCGCATTTTTTATAAACAATTTTTAAATATTTCCTTAAGAAGAGCTTGGAAATTTTTTTAATATTTCCGGATTTTGGAGTAAGTCCTTAAAAAAAATAATATTCTGGAGGTAGAGAGGCTGTTAAAAAAATATTTTTTAAGCCCACCAATTTTGGCTAGGTTTTTCTTTCTAAAAAGAACCAAGAAGGGCAATGAGGCCCTAAAAAAATTGAATACAAAAATTCTATATATTTGCTTCGAAAAAGAAGAAGAAGAAGCTATCAGAAAATTCTAAAAAGTGTTATAAGAAAAACCCAAGATATTTGCTGCAATAGTCCTAGGAAAAACTCTTGAAATTTGGGGTATTTTAAAAGGAGATCCTTGATTCTTTCCAACTATTTTTGACAAGTAAATTCTTAAGAAAATATTTTTAAATGAACCATTCTTGTCTTGGAAGGCTTTGAAAACAACAATTAAACATATTTAAAAAATTCAACTATTTTTGCCAGGAGGTCCTTGAATTTGTTACTTAAAAAAAATCATGATTTTATAAATTTCTTGGCCCTTTTATGGGAGAGTTACCAGAAAGATTGGAATTACATATTTAGTTTCACCTTTTTTTTTTTTTAATTTGGTCAACATAGCATTAACGAAGTTTGATGAAAATTCGTCACCGAGACGGTTCAAAATGTCCAGAAAAGGATTTTTTACAAAGAGACATAGACATATAAGAAATATTTAAGTATTGAAATTCCTTTCAAATTTCAGTGAAAGATTATTTCTAAACTCAATTTAATTTTAAATATTCCCATCCATTTTCACCATGGAAATGGTGTTGCTCAGTCATGGTATTTGTTACACTTCACTGCAGCACTGGCTGGCCGCATTTTTTTTTTCTAATTTAAGTGTTAGCGTTTCTATTCTAGTTACTGGCCGATATTTGCTTTTTCCCCCCAATACCAAACACATTCATTCACCCACACACCATCATATCTGTAGCCATCACCCCTTCACTCAACCACTCACCTTATTTATATGTTGGGCGCCACGATGCTGACGATGCTGCAAAGCTCTTTGTATATCATCGACCATTGTTTGCAAACGATCCAATTGGGTACGCATTTCACCCACACTTGATTGCATGCGACGCACACCGTCACGTTCCTCTTGCAACGTACCGACACTGTAGGCCAGCGCCTGCAATGAACGGGCCACATTTTTGCCCTCCTCACGCACCATATTCTGCTCGGACATAAGTTGTGCATGACCGAATTCCAATTTGGAAATTTCGTGACGTAATTCGGGTAGATTTTTATCAACTTTAGTCTGCAGCTGTTCGACGTCTTCGAGCAGCTCGAACATGGATGTGTGTAACTTATCCAGGGAAGCAATTTGCCGCGATAGATTGAAGTTGGCTTCCGCAACGCGATGCTGTTCGATTTCGATGCTGCGAACACGTTCGCCAATGCGATGATATTTCAATTCGTTGAATTGGCGGCGTAAATGACGTTGGGCCAATTGGAGTTCGTGCAGCTGTTGACGTTGGAAACGGACATGACGCCTTTTGTGGTCGGCCAAGAGATCAACGGTTGAAAGGGCTGCTGTTGCTGTGGTTGTTTCGGATGTGGACTGTAGGGGAAAGAAAAAGAGAAGAACAAAATATGACGATGAGTTTCATTGTTATTTTTTGTGTTGTTGAAAGGGTTTAATTAGTTTGTTTTTCTTTGCTGAACATTCACACATCCCTAGAAGTGTGCTGTGGCAGTTCGACAATTGTTTCGGAGAAAACAAAGTTTCAGATTTCGTGTCAAAGAATTTCCAGGAAATAACAAAAGTTGTTGAAAAATGAAAACAATAAGTCAATGCCCTATGTAGGAGAATTTGCGTAGTAAAAAGAGATAGTATTTTCTAAATCGGTAGAATTCCTAGGGTTCTAGACTGTACATAGAGGTCTTCCTCGAGATCTTGTATAGGTAAAAATCTAACTCGAGGCCTACTATAGAAAAAAGCCCCCCCCCCTCGGGTCTTCTATAGGACTGAAGACCTTCTCAAAGACTTCTATAGAAAAAAGGCCTCCTCGAGATGTTCTATAGAGCAGAAGGTCTCCTCGAGGTCTTTTATAGAGTAGAAGACTTTCTCGAGGTCTTCCAAAGAATAGAAGACCTTCTCCAGGTCTTCTATAGAGTAGAAGTCCTCCTTGAGGTCTTCCATAGAGTAGAAGGCTTCCTTGAGGTCTTCTAAATAGTAGAAGGCCTTCTTGAGGTCTTCTATGGAGTAGAAGGCCTCCTCGAGTTATCCTATAGAGTAGAAGGCATCCTCGAGGTCTCCTATAGAATAGAAGGCCTCCTCGTGTTCTCCTATAGAAGTCTTCTATAGTCTATATAGTATATAGTCTATAGGCCTCCTTGAAGTCTTCTGTAGAGTAGAAGGCCTCCTTAAGGTCTTCTATAGAGTAGTAGAAGGTCTCCTTAAGGTCTTCTATAGAGTAGTAGAAGGCCTCCTTAAGGTCATCCATGGAGTAGTAGAAGGCCTCCTTAAGGTCATCCATGGAGTAGAAGACCTCCTTGAGGTCTTCCATAGAGTAGAAGGCCTCCTTGAGACCTTCCATAGAGTAGAAGGCCTCCTTGAGAATTTCTACACGTCTTCTACTGAATAAAAAATTTGTATGTAGGCTCCTGTTGCATAGAAGAAGAATATCAAATATTCACTCGAACTGGGCGAGAGTAAGAGAGAGCTGGACAATCTTTCTTTACTCTTTTTTTAAATTTTACTAAATTTAAAATAATTTTAACCCACATTCAATTTACTGCATCTCCTCCAACTGACAAACCAGAATTCTATTATAAACGATTTATTTCCTTGCACACAATTTAAAGCATACCCTTAGGAGCAATTTGATTAATTTTCAAAAGTATTGCATACTTGCCAGGCTGTTGTGATAGAAAATGAATTTGCCAAAGATTTCGCAAAGTAATGTAATGATACAATTGTAAATCAATTTACATAAATTATTGAAGTGAAAACGGTTTACTTTCTATCTGTCGCTCCCTTACTCCTCCCTCCCACATTCGCTCCATCTCCCTGTGACTATAGCAAATTTTATGGCCAAGACAATTTTTGTAGAGAATCTGGAATTCAAAAATAAAACTAAATTCCAATGAACTCCCACTGGGTAAACATTTGAACATTAAAATGTACTATAGTGAAACGAAGCCACAGTGGAGTGGAGTAAGTAGAAAAACGGGCATCTATGTCTCCATACACACATACATATGTATATACATATAACCCACAACAAAAACAGGATGCCAGTGCTTTTGGCATACCCAGCAGTCCGCTGGCCATTACAATTTAATACCCATCCAAATGTATGCTGTTTTGTCAATAGGAAAAAATGAAATAACAGTGGTTTATAGCATACAACTAGCATCCGATTTGGATGAGTCGCATTGTTATTACATTGTGGAACAAAATCCATATTAGAATTAAAGAGCAAAACAAAATATAATAAAATGTGTCCATCGCACTTGCATCTGAATCGGATGCCTTTGTATTGTTTTGCAAAGTTTTTTTGTGTGTTGTTGCAGCCGGTGTTGTACCGTTATTCATTTTTGATGCTTCTTTCTTTTTTAAAGCAAAATTTTATTCTGTGAAGTGTTTTTGAACGTGCAAGTTGTGAATATTGAAAAAAGTTAATAAAATAAAATAAATAATTAAAATAAGAATATAGTAAGTGGAGAAATTCAGTAGGAGAAATTTAAGACGATTAAAAAATGGGGAAGCAGACAATTTAAAAAGAAATGCACAGTTGAGGACGGACTGTTTGGAAAACAATGATATTGTACTAAATGAGCAGATTCCATGCATTCCAAAATTGTAGAAGATTTTGGAAAATATGTAAGAATATTGAAAACTCTCCGTTATAATCCATTAATAATTTAATTTTTTTCAGATTAGAAATTGTTTCATATTCCCTAAGGCCAGACACTTCCGAACAATGTCCTACAATAAAAAAAAACTGGAAAAAATTAATTTTTTGTTTCTTCCCACGTCTTTTGAATAAGTTTTATAAATTTCTTTTTTATGCATTATTTCTAATTATAATAAGAATATTTTATTGTTGAAAACACTGTTCTATAATAGGAATATTTTAATAAAAAAACAGCTGAAATTTGAGTTCCACAATCTAAAATGTTGATGGAATCGGACCCATCCAACCTTCGCTTACAATGTTGATAGATTTCGGACCCATCCAACATTCGCTTACGTTGTCGGTCGATTTCGGACCCATCCAACATTCGCTTACATTGTCGGTAGATTTCGGACTCGTCTGACGGCCTAGGCCATCGCTGTGTAAATGTAAGTAGAAATTGTATACAGGCTTTGGATGGGTCGCACCTACATTGTCATTGGTCTCAGATGGAAGATGTATGTGCTAAAAAATCCGCTGGGTATAATCACTGAGAACTGATTTAATTCCCTTGATAAACAGTGGAATGAACAGGCAAACAAACAGACAGAACTCTGTCTCTCGCGCACACAAACACACACACACACGTTTTTCAACAATTGTAAATAAATGTACAGAGTTTTCTTTTATAATATACTAACACAAACACACACACGCGCTGCCTCACACACAGTTATACACCGAATGCAAATACATTATGCAAACAACAAAAATGACAATAAACCCAACGGGTTATATAAAATGCAATGCGTGGCAAAAAAACAAAAAAGATGGATTGTGGAGGGTGGTGGGATGGCAAGGTGGCACCAGACAAAACACTGACAGCAAATTGTGGAAAATAACAGAAACAAATACCAATGACAACAATAACAACAGAAAAAAATACATATATTTGTAGAAATGTGTGTACACACCGACAACAAAAACAATATTAATGATCTGAATATGTCAGCGAATGACAATACAAAAGAATGTCATTAATTTCGAAAAACACACTCACACCCACACAGACAGACAGACACTCTCTGACACATACAACAAAGAGAACAACAGTAAGTCTGTTTGAAAATAACAACAATAATATACAAAAAGAGAGAGAGAGAGAAAAACAACATCATTGTCAACAATGACACAGCACAACAATGGCACCTACCATTATCTGCCACCGGACCAGCTAACAACAAAAAACAACAACAATAACAAAATAGGCAACAGCCATCACCGTCAATAACAAAGCTACCGAAGGAAATGGCAACGACCAATATAAGTTTTGTCGTGTTTTTCCTCCCAGCCAAGACTAAAAACAAATGTTGCACAGTGAACGATAGTGAGGAGATGGAAATGATGGAAATACCCTTCGAAACCGTTTTGAGAAGACTTAACAGACAAAAACAAATTGTTCACAAAATTGAGGAGATGGGGACTTCCAAAGAGCAACAGGCATCGAAATAATCAGAAATAGCCTTCAAAACAAATTTGGGAAGTCTTAACAGACGAAAACAACTTGTTTTACAAAATAATTACTGACCGATCGGGAAGTTCTTATATCTTTTTCTGATACCTTCCTCAAAAATGCCTGTAATTTTGGAAAAATTAAGGTGAAATAATTTAGGTAGAGTTAATTAAATGGAAAACTTTTGTTAGCTCCTTTATTGAAGGTGAATGAAAAAATGATCAAAAGAAAAAGTTATCAAAATTTTCAATCGTTAATTTTTTTTTCAAATATACTCCAGAGCCTATTAAACAAGATTCGAGGAATTTCTAAAAACTATTTCCCATGGTCTCCTGGACAAGAATCCAGTAATTTTCAACAACATTTAATGAGGATTTCCTGGCTATGGAGCTTTGTAGATTTCATACGAATATTTTTATAAAGATTTTCCGGATTAGAATCCTGGACTTTTTAAAAATAACATCAAGGACCTCCTGCCCAAAAATTGTACATTTTTAGGAATATTTTTGAAATTTGGAATTTTTAAACTCTTTATGTTAAGAAATCTTTCTTGTGTTAAGGACTCCTGGTAAAATGGAGTTCTTTATTCACTTTTTGATAATAAATCTAAAATTTGTTACAATTTCCATTCAAGGACCTCTGCACAAAACACTCGTGGTCTTTAAGAATACTTTTCAAGGACCACCTGAATTGATTTATTAACCTGAAAGCTTGATTTAATTCAGACTTTTTATTTCAAGAACTTCCTGAACAATAAGACTTGGATTTTAATCTGAGAATAATTTTCAAGGACCTCTGAACCGAAACGCTACATTTTTAAAAATAATTTGAAGTATCTCCTGCCAAAAAACAGCAATTCTCTGAATTTTTATACTTTAAGTTTTTAAATAAATATTTATAAGGACATCTTAATCCGAAGTTCGAGGATTCTTAAGAATTTATTTTTTCAAGGACCTATTAATAAAATTGAGTGTTTTAAACATGCTTTCAAGGATATCTTAATCAAAATGTATGGTTTCCTTGAGAAAATATGACAAAATAGTGGATATTTAGAAAAATAGTTTTCAATGACCTGAACAATAATCGTGTATCGTATAAGATATTTTTTGGTTTTTTTATTGACCCAAAATGGATTTTTGTACTCTTTTAAGAAGATTTTTTCAAATCTCCAGACCAAA